ATCAGGGAATTCCTCAACACGGCCCAGAACTGCCCTTCCTTCCTGAAGTCTTCACATCATTTCTCTTTCCTTAGTTTCCACCATTTTCTGTTGTGTCTTCCCTCTCTTCCTTTTTTTCACCTCCATCGTCATCTTGCACATTACCATCCAATGTTGTTTGGCTACACTCTCGCCAGCCACCACCTTACAGTATCTAATATCCTTCAGATTACCTCTTCTACATAAAATACAATCTATCTGTGTGGACCTGCCTCCACTCTTGTAAATCACCCTGTATTCCTCTTTCTTTTAGAAATAGGTGTTTACCACATCCATTTCCATTCTCTTTGTAAAATCTACCACTGCCTGTCCTTCCAAGTTTCCTGCAAATTTTCTGGAAGTTTTCTCATACTCCCGCACAAGGTGGAGGGTATCCATCCCAAAGTGTGTGGAAACATGTCTATGAAGATTCTCAGTCAATGTACATATTTTGGCCAGGGAAGACCAATGGTTTGAGAGAGGGGTAAAAAAAGCCATTTTTGTCAACTTGGAAAAACCATCACTCAACAGAGGAGGTGGACTCAGACACAACCTATCACCCACTTACAAAGCACTTTTAGGAACAATACCCAAAAGTTTCACCCCAGTTCACATAACAAAGAGGCAGGTGACCGAAACCGTTTTGATGGGGACCACAACGACCCTTCAGACTGTTTACACTTTCACAGTCAAGGCCTTTATTCTTTCTCACCTAGAGTATTTATTTGCTGTACTCCCCATCACCAGTTAGAACTGAAGTAGCCTCTTGGATTAGAGGTGAAACGTTTTCTTTTAGAAAATTCATGTCCAGTTGCCTAACAGAACCTTTTTAACTTGACCATGACCTGGATGACTGAGAATCTTCATAGACACTCTGAGACATATATTTCCTCCACTCTCTAATTTATTTGTATATATATATATATATATATATACACACTCTTTATGTTTATGTAGGTGTCGGGGATGGCATACCACGTTCCGAACACAAGTTTGTCCGGTTTGGGAAGGTTTGGAATGTCACTCCATTTGTGATTCTAAGCAAGAACGGCCTTCTCATTCTTGAAAGATTTTCAAGGTCAGCTGTCAAGCTCTTGAACTTCAACACCCATATGTCCTTGTCGGTGATGTCGGCCAGTGTCGGCCACCTGCATATTCAATAGGTATGGATTGATGCTCAGGGGAGTGACAGGGAAGGATAAGGTGTTTTTTTCCTCTCTGAACTCACAGAATCGTTTTCCAAATGATGTTTGCGTTGCAGCGATTGCAGACTGCAAATACTGACAATTTATCACATTGTGAGCTTGTTGGAACTCTGTCAAAGAGGGGAAGTGACAGAGTGTACCTCGCTGTAAATCCTTCGCCAACACTGTCAACTTGCGCTTAAATCCCAAAACCTCTTCCAGCATGTGCAGAGCTGTGCCTCCTTTTCCCTGAAGAGATGTGTTCAATGTGTTCAGGTGCGCTGTCATATCAACTATGAAGTGTAGTTTTTCCAGCCACTCTGGCTGTTCCAGCTCAGGAAAGGTGAGCCCTTTGCTGCCAAAGAAAGTTTTCACCTCTTCCAGATGTAGTGGGTCTGACACCCCCTCTTTTTCATGTTAGTAATTGAACCTTTTTAAGTACAGTTATCACTTGCACCAGTAGAGGGTGCTCTATCACCAGTAGAGGGTGCTCTATCACCAGTGGGTCCAAGCACACAGTCTCTACTCTGCTTTGTTCTGCGCATGTGCAGAGAATAAACCTGCCGAGCAGCAGTCGATTGAGCTAACAGCTCTCGTGTTGTGTTTGGATCCCCTGGTTTATAAGATGTATTATTTGTAAATGTCTGTTCAGCAAAACAATGTAATAACATATGGCAAAGCCAGGAAGTGAACCGTAAGTGTAGAATATCGAAATATGTGCTGTATTGTTTTGGTATATCATCGGGTATTGCCGTGTGTTTGTGCGCGCATTTTCGACGGTAATTGTTGTTAGTTATTAGTTGTTGTTTGTTAATATTGTTCTGAGAGTAGTTGGTTTGTTTTTCTTATAATGTGTATATGCAGGTGCAGAGATTCACAGTTTTACCGCGTTCAGTGCCCGCCACCTGAGTGGTTCATGCTGCCGGACCAGAGACCCCGAGCTCTGGCGCCGGTAACACAGACACACAGCAAAGTTTCAGCACTTCCCCTCTGGACAGCCACCAGACTTTGGTATGCAGCAGGAGATCATAATACGCGCTGTCCACCTCATGTAGTAATTAGCGGAACTGACGGTGATTTAAACCTTTTGCCATTATTTTGTTGCGATCTGAATGACAACATTCATTTACTTCTGTGCATTCCGGAGGAAATGTTTACGCTTCTTGATGCAAGATGCAATGGAATTTCATTCACAAAGCCCGTCTGCCCTTCTGTTATACTCGGTGCCCCATCAGTAGCCACTGACACCAGGTGGGTGGTGTTTAATTCTTTGGTTCTTAAACAATCCAAAATGGCCTCACATCTGTGTTTTGGTGTCTTAGCAGCTTCCTGCTGCAGATCTAACCAAATGTTCACGTATCGGCAGAACAGCGCTATTTGTTCAATGTCATTTTTGTATTTTGGACACATCACAGGTGATTGCGTATGCCAAAGCTTAATTAATGTCTTCCATTTGCTGTCTGGTGATGTTTTCTGCCATCTTTACATTTCTGTCTTGGATAGTTTTCGCAGAGAGAGGCATGTCTCTTATTTTCTGCACAATTTCATTTTTGTTTTTGAAGTCCGCGAATAGATGTTCTGAAATTTCAATGAATGATTCCTTTATGTATTCTCCATCTGTAAATGCCTGAGTATTTCCTGAGCAGCCACAAAACTAGCACATGTAGTTGAATTTGCAGACTTAATCCACTTCAGGAAGTGATTTCTGCTTGCATCAGCCATCCGCATCAGTTCCAAAACTGCTCCTCTCCCTCTGGATATTTTTAAGCAAAGTGTTTATTGTCAAAATGTCTTGCAACATTTGACTTTTTGTCAAATTTTTTTCACCACATATTAAGCAAATTGGTAAACCAGTTTCATCAGTGGTGAAAGCAAATTAACCTGCTCACGTAACATTAAACATTCTGTTATCTTCAGAAATGTTTCTTTTTTTGGATTTATCCATCCTTTACCTTGCAGATCGGGTCCTGCTGGCTACTAGATGTTTCTCCGTGCAGAGCGTGGAATCAGATTCCCCACAGCTGGCAAAGGGGAGGACGGTGGACGCGGGGACGGTGGTTGTCACGGGAGTTTCCACCCGAGGACAGAGCAGCAGTGAGCTATGTTTCTTCCACAGGCGCTTCGGCAACAAGGCTCGGCGCTGCACTCCTCCGTGCACATTCGCAGCGTCGGGAAACACCAATGCCGATTGATTGTTTGTCACGGGTGGTGATCTGTCCCATGTTCCTCAGGATAGATTTTTCGTCCATGGCTGCCAGGCGATCAAGACATCCGGGCCCTTAAAACTGCAGATACAGCCCTGCAGCTCGGGGAAACGGCTCTGTGACATGGCACCTGCTGACTATGGTGGATAGGACCACCAGGTGGCCGGAGGCCGTTCTTCTGTCGTCCATGTCGGCCGTGGACTTAGCTCGCGCATTTATTGTGTCCTGAGTCGCGCGTTTCGGGACTCCATCGGACATCACCTCTGACAGGGGCCCCCAGTTTATTTCTGAGCTGTGTCTCTTAGCATGCAGGTTCACCGTACTGCCGCGTATCATCCCCAGGCTAACGGCTTGTGTGAGCGGTTTCATCGTTTGCTCTAGGCAGCCCTGCGCGTCACGCTCGTGGATGGCAACTGGTTGGATAGGCTGCCTTGGGGGATGTTAGGGCTAAGTTCGGCTCCTAAGGAGGATCTAGATGCTTCCCCTGCTGAGTTGGTCCTAGGCCAGCCACTCCGTGTTCCGGGTGAGTTCTTGCCGGAGAGTGCTGCCCTAGGCTTGTTTCCTGTGGCGCGTCATTTCACTCCTGAGTCGGGTTTTGTGCCATCGCCTCTGCATCACTGTTTTCCGCGTTCATTTGTGCTAGCGGACCTCGCTGGCGCGTGTTGGAGGCAGGAGATAAATGTTTCGTGCTCGATGTGGGGGGGGGGCGTAAGGAGCGGGTGACGTTGGACAGACTGAAGCCGGCGCACATGGTAGCTGGCGAGGCGGTGTTTCCAGCCCAGGTTCCCCATCGGGGTCGTCCCCTATCAAGGTTTCGACCTGTGCCCTCACAGGCCGAGAGCTCTTTTACAGGTCCGGCCGCAGAGGTGGTTCTACAGCCAGCTGTTGGCGACGGAGTTCGGCATAGCCGTTATGGGAGGTTACTTAAGCCTCTGGTGGGGGTTTGACCAATGACCTGAGGTGTCCGGGGGGAAGGCACCAAGGAGCATGCCTCTCACCCAGTAGGGTTATGGATAAAGGGGCATGTTAAGTGCCCATAGAGTTTGGCGCTTAGCGCCATTTTCTCTCTCTGTTCCTGTTGTCACAGACGAATAAAGTGTAGCGCACCTGGGCCTCAGAATCATCGTTCAACTGCCACAATATCATATTTTTCCATTTACTATTATTCTCTTGATAACACTAATAAATATTCATTGGCAACAGCTACAGAAATAATGTATGTTGATTTACAGTACTTTATGGTGGATGTGTGTCCATGTAGTTCCTCCTCTGTCAATGTGATCATTTAATTACTCCATGACATAACTTTACTATCAGATTAGACAAAACAATAAACAGGCTTTAAAATGACAATTTGAAGTTTTTAGGTTTTTATTTTATGATTGCTTGTTGTGTTTGCTTGGTTAGAATGTTTATGTGCATTCAATACAAGAGTGGCCACTCTTGTATTGTATTGAGATCAGAAATGACACCATGTGTCAAATTCTTTGTGTTGAAAGTATCACTAAAATGTTGATCAGGTTCTGAAAAACCAGTGATCCTGTTTGAGGATTTTTTGAAAAAAAAAAAATTAACAATAAATTAACAACACATATCTGCTATCTTTAGAAGTTTAATTCAGTGCTTTATGATAAAACCACACATTACAGGGAAGGTAGTCAGCAAACATAAATTTAGTTTGACTGTCTTACATAATCTAAAAAGCACACCTTGAACTGAATGAATGTACTACATGGATTAAAATTATATATACATATATAATGCAGTTTAATCTATCGATGTATCGTTGAATTGTTGATATGAAGGACTGACTGGTGGTTGATCAAAGAGGTCGATATTTCCAAATGCTAGAGAAGATTGAAATCTGTAATGAAATAAAAGCAGAAACATTTAGTTTCATTTAGCTTTAGTCACCACATGTTTAACTAGAAATAAAGTAGCTCTATCCAGCCATTAGCATCCACTTAATCCCTGTAAAATGTTTTCAAATTATATAATCATAATGTAGCCTCATGGAGTCCATAAACTCATCACAAACAAAATAAACAATCAATCATTCCTGTCATCTAACAATCAATCAGTCAATGTTATTTTTTGAAATTGTGGTAATTCACCTTGTCCTTGAGCTGTTGACAAAGCTGCAAGCAAATGGTGAAGAACAACAGTGTGTCATTGAGCCAGGGAACCACACACTCCACCTTGTGAACCTGGCTCACTTCAAAACGATTGTTTTTGTAGTCACTGAGAAGAAAACAAGTAAAAACAGAATGTGGCAATTAAAAAATGAAAATAAAATCTAGCAAAAGATCATTTAAAAATCATTAGCATTCTTTTTTAAGTTGTTTTCACAAAGTTTCAGACATGCCTTTTGAGATATTTTGGTATGCTTAATGTGGGGCAAGAAGACAAAAACTTTTGCAGTGTCATTTAGTTACAACTAAAACATTTGGGATAACAGATGTTGCAGTAAAGAAGGCTCTGCAAAGATATGTGATGGGGATCATGGGATACAGCTTGTCCTCCACTTTGGACATTACACCATCAGATGTAGAAGAAGGGCCAAATGCATCATGACTCCACCCTTCATGCACGTAAACATTTAGTCTATTTTCCCTTGGGAAGGATGCTGGGGAGTAACCGGACCAGGCTTAGAAACTGCCTTTTTCCAGACAGCTGTAAGACTGTTGAACCCTGGTACTCCTTAAGTAAAAAATATACAAGTTATAACTTTTACTTAAACTTAACTTTTACTCATTTTACAACACACTGAATCTATTACCTACTGTAGTGTTTTGTTTCATCATCTTGCACTTACTGGATTGATTTTATTTGTAAAAATAAAGGATGGACAAACATCCAAACAGAGCCACTGTCACAGCATTAGCTGCCAATTAAGACTCTTCACTTCTTCGCACATTCACTCACTCGCTGTTATGCCACGGACCGGTTTAATGTCTGACAATACTTTCACAGACTGGTCTTTAAGTTGTGGCACCACATGTTTAACTAGAAATAAAGTAGCTCTATCCAGCCATTAGCATCCACTTAATCCCTGTAAAATGTTTTCAAATTATATAATCATAATGTAGCCTCATGGAGTCCATAAACTCATCACAAACAAAATAAACAATCAATCATTCCTGTCATCTAACAATCAATCAGTCAATGTTATTTTTTGAAATTGTGGTAATTCACCTTGTCCTTGAGCTGTTGACAAAGCTGCAAGCAAATGGTGAAGAACAACAGTGTGTCATTGAGCCAGGGAACCACACACTCCACCTTGTGAACCTGGCTCACTTCAAAACGATTGTTTTTGTAGTCACTGAGAAGAAAACAAGTAAAAACAGAATGTGGCAATTAAAAAATGAAAATAAAATCTAGCAAAAGATCATTTAAAAATCATTAGCATTCTTTTTTAAGTTGTTTTCACAAAGTTTCAGACATGCCTTTTGAGATATTTTGGTATGCTTAATGTGGGGCAAGAAGACAAAAACTTTTGCAGTGTCATTTAGTTACAACTAAAACATTTGGGATAACAGATGTTGCAGTAAAGAAGGCTCTGCAAAGATATGTGATGGGGATCATGGGATACAGCTTGTCCTCCACTTTGGACATTACACCATCAGATGTAGAAGAAGGGCCAAATGCATCATGACTCCACCCTTCATGCACGTAAACATTTAGTCTATTTTCCCTTGGGAAGGATGCTGGGGAGTAACCGGACCAGGCTTAGAAACTGCCTTTTTCCAGACAGCTGTAAGACTGTTGAACCCTGGTACTCCTTAAGTAAAAAATATACAAGTTATAACTTTTACTTAAACTTAACTTTTACTCATTTTACAACACACTGAATCTATTACCTACTGTAGTGTTTTGTTTCATCATCTTGCACTTACTGGATTGATTTTATTTGTAAAAATAAAGGATGGACAAACATCCAAACAGAGCCACTGTCACAGCATTAGCTGCCAATTAAGACTCTTCACTTCTTCGCACATTCACTCACTCGCTGTTATGCCACGGACCGGTTTAATGTCTGACAATACTTTCACAGACTGGTCTTTAAGTTGTGGCGGATGAATACAACTAAATAAAATGATACGACCGGCTTGGAGATACAAGTTACCCAAAATATGAGTTTTCCAAGTTACGAGTAAGCAACTTTTGGCAGATTTTCCTTGTGATACGAGGAAACATCAAGTTATGAGTGCTCAATGGAGCTCTTTCATTCCACTCAACACTGTCGCTCTCACTGTCCCTTGCTTGTACTTGGGGTGGGGGGGGGGGGGGGGGGGGGGGGGGGGGGGGGTGGGGGGGGTTCTATTATCTAAATCAAGTCCTCACTCCCAGTCCTTCTCTTATGCTAGGTGGCCCGACACTCTGTCATGCTGTCTCGCTCACTAATTTAATATTTCTGGGGGCTAGAACGAATTTATTGGTTTTAAGTTATTTATAATGGGGAAAATGCAATGGAGATCTCGAAGCCTCCTTGTGTTTTCTAAATTTGAAAATAAATGTAAATCCACTATGTATGCAACTTTATTAGCAGCATCCTTGTAACATGGTTCCAACATCATAACATGAGTAATGGCCTCACACTCTGGTCTAAACAGGACTTCAACACAAGATACACAAGAAAAATAAATATAAAGTGCAAGAAAAATACAACTTAACATAACCCTTAATGGCAGACAATGGCATCCAAAGTGGGTTTGGTTCGCTCTGTAATTTTGTTTTGGTTGCTATCACTGCTGTTGGGAGATCTGGCGATCTCAGGGTATTCTGCCACGACTTTAATCCAAAACTCTGGCATAGAGGTTCTCTTAACCATACTTCTGCTGGTGCTGGATTCCCCTGGTTTGTTGGCAAATGGGTCAGTTTTTTCAGGTTTTTTTGTGGTTGGGAAGTAATGCCCGACTCTTTTATAAGCAAAGAAAGGTGATCATGCACCAGCTGGGAGAATAAAGGCTCCGGCTTAGGTCACTTCCATAATTCCTGCTAATGTTTGAAACATATCAATTATACCTCTGTTGATGCGCTGTCCCCACAAAATGCAGCTACATTATCTACCATCTTGAACACAGTTGTCATTTTTCCCTGATGTGACAGAGTTCATTGATCAGGTGAATAAGTCACACAGGTAAGCGAGTTTTGTTACCCATTCCTTGTCACTGAAATGTGCAGCTAGCAGTGACTTATTCCAACAGAAATCTATGCAGCAGTTCCATAATTCTAACACTCTGGCCAGCGATCTCCCAGCGATAACCATATCATTTCAGTGTATAAAAGAAGGTGTCTGTGCCATCTCCTCACAAAGCTGCTCTAACAGGTGCAAGTTAAGGGTGTGTGCTTTAATGTGGTTCATAACATTATCCAATACGCATAAGTTACAATGGCATTTTTCTGCTAACCACTGTTTCCCTGTGAAAAACACAATGTACAGAGGCACATACAGGCGTTGGACAATGAAACCGAAACGCCTGGTGACCAAAGGTTTGGATATAGCAGCCCAGCCATGTATATTGACCCTGTGGAGTTCCCGATGGACAGTTTTGGTGGAAACAGGAGAGTTGAGGTGCACATTTAATTCTGTGGTGAGTTAGGCAGCTGCTGTTTTATGTTTTTTGGACACAATCCGGGTTAGCACCCGGACATCCCTTTCAGACAGCTTCCTCTTGCGTCCACAGTTACTCCTGTTGGATGTGGTTCGTCCTTCTTGGTGGTAAGGTGACATTAGCCTGGATACCGTGGCCTTTGATACATCAAAAAGACTTGTTGTCTTTGTCACAGATGCGCCAGCAAGACGTGCACCAACAATTTGTTCTCTCTATTGAACTCCGATATGTCACCCATAATGTTGTGTGCATTGCAATATTTTAAGCAAAACTGTGCTTTTACTCTGCTAATTGAACCTTCACACTCTGCTCTTACTGGTGTGCAATGTGCAATCAATGAAGCTTGGCCGCCAAGGTGGTCAAATTTAGCTATTAAACCTCCAACACTAAACTGGCCAGTGTTTCAGTTTGATTGTTCAACCCCTGTACAGGTGCAACGTATTTAATCTGAGCAGTAAACACAAAATGACCATTTCAATTTTCCTGAAAAATAATTATCCAGCAACTTGAATGGTTCTGGGGCTGTGGTTCTGGTTGGCAACAATAGTGCACATAACATATCCTTAAGAACATCCTCCTGATAAATATATCACAGTTAAATAAAAAGCTATTGCTTTGTTGTCAATATTTGTGGACTCGTCAACATGGAGTACGTACCACTGTGATGTATATATATATATATATATAATACTCTCCAACAATTGTGTCTCAATGTCCTCTGATATTTCCCTTATGCACCCAGTAACAGTTTTAACCAAAAGAGGTATCTCTGCTATCTTTTTTTTACTGCAGCCTCTCCTAGAATATCATGGCAAATGTCTATAGCGGCGGAAAGGAACAATTTTTCAATGTGAATGGCTTCTTCACCTTTGAGGCAGTGGTGGCTTAGTGGTTAAGGAAGCATATTTGGGTCCACCAGCTGCCAAGTTACCACTAAGGTGCTCTGAGCATGGCACCGTACTCACACACTACTCCCCGGGCACTAAAAGCTGCCCACTGTTCACTTTGGTGATGGGTTAAAAGCAGAGGTCACAATTCGTTGTGTGACAAGTTCCACTTTCCTTCTTACCCTTAGCAATACGGTTAGCCACCAAGAATGATGCTCTGAGTGCACCCGAATTTGTTGATGTGGTTGACCACAGCAATTGCTTCTGTCCTTCTTGCTCCCAATTTTTTTTTCTCCAAAATACTCTAAAGGCTTGTCTTTTAATGCAGAATGTTCTCCAAGTAGCGAACCCGTTTTGGAGGCTTCATTGCCTCATAAAAGAGTCATTCGCTGCATATTATGCAGAGTGGCCTTGGTGCCTGGGAACAACCTGTCGCAATAAATCCATATTTCAAGTCAGGCTACTGTAATAGTCTGTTAAATGCAGCTTCTTTTTTATGAGGTCGTAGGCACTAATTCTGTCTCCTCATTGGCTCTTTTAGTCTGTGCAAAAAAACTTTCCAAAAGACATTTGTATTTTGATTATTTTGCTAGCTTGAAGGTTTCAATTTAGTGGTAATGTATTTTGTGTTACCGGCCACAGCAGACCCTTTCAGAAGGTAGCGGATATAGGTAAGACACGTGACCAAGGCAAGCATCTTGTCAAGTCATAGACAGATGTGGCAGAGAGAATCTGCCACATATTTAAAAATAAAACATCGTTCAGAATCCAACCAATTGCAGGCATCCTTGAAGTGCAGGCAGATAAATTTAGTTTTTGCACTTTTTAGTGCAGGTCAGGCTATTGTAATACATGCAAAATGTATTTAGGCAAAAGAACCAATATTCGAAACTAACATTAGCTCCGGGGCTAACTCCCTTTACTTTGTGCTTGTCCGCAGCAGAGGTAAACAGAAACAGGGAAGTTGGGGTCTTTATTATCAGCCACACTGAGCTCAACGGTACATACGTAATCTATCTATCTATTTATAAACAGCGTTTTGGACTTCCGGGCGACACGCAACACGACATGGCAGCATAGTTACTTAGCTCCAGGTATCAGCCTTAAATTCAATTGTATTTACTCATTATTACAACACACAAACAAACAAATAATCTTCGCTTTGATGGGGAATGGGGATAAAGGCAAGAAAGGAGGATATGGGCTATGTAATAAGTAAAAAGTATCTGACCTGCAGGGGCGCTCCAGACGTAATAACATCAGGATCTATGGCATTCCCGAAGATGCCGAAACCACCTCGGAGCGCCCCACCGCACTGGTTCATTTCATCTAGTTCTCTGTGAAAGATAAGGTCTTCCATGCAGCTTCGAAAAAACAAACGGGCCCCGTAATGTACAACAGCGCTGCACAAGCTGCAGAAGATCTGCGGAGAAGAGGATACGCGGTTGGCGAGATCCCTGGCAGGATCAAGAGCAAAGACGTCTCAGAGGAGACGCTGCAGCTTCTACCCTGGGAAGTAACTGAGGCCTGCCCCGAAGAAAAACACCGGTTGCAGGAACAGATCCGGGAGAAGCTGAGAGTATTGCAGAACAGAACTAGGAGGCACAGCAAGGGATAAGTGAGATATTTCATCATAATTTCCCCATTATCTTATTGCATTACAGTACAGTTTATTGCGTTCTACTGTTCTACACTGTTTTGTTAATTACCGTTGGTCCGGGGTGTTACAACAGAAATGTTTTGTGTAAAACTGATGCATTATCAACACTGTAGCATATTGTTGCAGAATGTAAATGGGCTGAATAACATCATCCAAAGAA